ATAACCTGTTTAACCCTCCTGTAGCCCAGGGCTACAGCTAAATCCATACACTTGTACCCAGAGTCTGTTTCAGTTCTTGGGTCACCTCCATTTTCTTTTCTTTTTTGTTTTTAGACAGGGTTTCACTATGTAGTTCAGGCTGCCCTTGAACTCACAGTGATCCTCCTGCCTCAGCCTCCAAAGTGCTGGGATTACAGGCATGCACCACCACGCCCACTTCAGCTCCATTTTCTAAAAGAATCTTTTTTCCCATGGTTCCCATGTACAACTTAAAGCAAAGGTGTCCCCCATTCCAGTCATATTCGTTTACATCAACTCCACTCGAGCAGCATTTTGACAATATCTGTGTAGCCTTTACAACAGGCCAATGACCATGCACTTTTTTGACCTTTTCTGAAACGTTGGGGATCAGCACCATTCTGAAGTAGAATCTCTACCTCAGCTATTTGCCCGTGTGCTGCAGCCCGAATCAGGGGAGTAAATCTGAACGTTTTGTTCAGTGCGAGTAGCCAGGTAGGGCTCTGAGCTGCTAACTGGTGGACGGGGAAAGAATTCCCTAACAGGTGTGGTAGAGACTTCATTTCCTGTGTGTGTGTTGGTTGGAGTAGTTGGCTGTTTATGGGTGAGAATGTTTTGTGGCAGAGGGAGTCTAGATGCGTCTTACTTGAATTCCAGGAAAAGGCCGTGTATGCATAGTACATTCAGCTTTAATTAGGACAGATGCCACCTCCAGGTCAGAATTAACTGTATCTTGAATTTTTTTACGATCCTCTTCATTTACGGATTTCACACATTCGTATCAAAGCGGTTGGGCAGTATGAATTTCATTCCCATGGCAACGCCCTGAGCTGATCTTTCCTCTGAATTTGGGTCCAATAGATGTTCACGCCAGAGAGACTGTAGCTTCTGGGACACTTCCACTATCAGCCGGGCTGTACCCAGGTTCGGTGATGTAGCCATGATATCAACTATGGTTTTCAGTAATTAAAACATTTCTGCATGATTTCCTCTTGGAATTATAAGAATGCTATCCGGTGTATTCTTAGAATTTGGATATTAAAAAATCTCGACGCCGGGTGAGGTGGCGCACGCCTGTAATCACAGCACTCAGGAGGCTGAGGCAGGACGATCCTTGTGAGTTGGAGACCAGCCTGGGCTACAAAGGGAGCTCAAGGCCAGCCTGAACTGCATAGCGAGACCATGTCTCCAAAAAAAAAAAAAAAAAAAATCTCAAGCCCGGGTTTGTTTTGGCCACGAC